ATTTTTTTGACGACAACATGTTGACTCTTGATGTTGTTTATTACAATTATTCTTGGGAGGTATACTGTTACTATTATCTACAATATCCTTATACGCAACTCAGATGAAAGAGCATTCGATTTTATGTCGCCTAGGTTAATTATCTGAAAATATACAATTTTCGAGTTATCTAGTTGTAGCATCAAACTCAGAAAATAATTGTGAAATGATAATGGGTACTTTTCATTCAAATATTTATTAAAAATAAATTTAATTTTAGTTAAAATTTTAAAGAAAAAATTTTACTCTTATAACGTTATTAGTAATATATTGTGATTTTTTAATTTTAATGTTTAATTATTTAATTTTATAATAGTTTAATTTTTTACGAAACAATGTGCAATAATATCACATTTTATTTTGGGTAAAGCATTTTTAAGCATTTTTAATTTGGAAAATTATCCTAAAGAAATCCTAATCCTAATACCATAAATCACAACTTAAAACATTTCTTTTCACGATATGATCCTACTATAAATTGTTGGGTTATGCTCTAATTAGATAGTCAATTTTTAGACCCTGCACCTTCGAAGGAGACACCTGCGGTATGGACAAGTGTATATTCTTGCTCAACGTAAAATTCTGCGTTGATTTAAACATGCCCGTCCATCCGACCGATCGCGTGATATCTCAAAAACGAGTATACCAAATACGGCCAAACTTTCACAAGTTGTTTTTTTTTTTACCTGGACCATTTCGGACAACGGGTTCCGATAGCTGCCATACAACTCATGAAACCTGGCAGTCATAACATATGTCCAGTTATGGGTCTGAGATATCCTCGAAATTTTTATGGAATGACTTGTGGAATGTTTTTATGAACTTGACAGCTTTGGGTATGGGACAAAACAATTTTTTTTTTATTTTATTTTTTTATTTTTATTAATTATGGCTGTCCATTTAATGTCAGCCACAATTTGCTGAACCCTTCACCAAAGCTGTTTGGGTCAAAATACGGTGTATTAGTGTGTTTGATGATATTGAATTAAAAGGTTACTTATTGGAATTTAAATGTGATATACGGTGATATTATGTGTTGTTGTTGTTGGTATGTGTTGTGCATCCGATGTTTTTCCATAAGTTGTGTGCCTTCAGTAGGCGTGTGATTTGTGTCCGGTCTTGGATATGATCACGCCGTAGAACTTCTACTGGAGAGGTATTAGTGTTCTTCCAGTTCGCTTTAGTTGTTTTGCATGTTGTTAATATATGTTCTACAGAGTACGGAGTTTCGCATGCGGTACACATCAGTTTGTTTGCTCCCGTGAAGTGATGACCATGGGAGAACATGGTACATCCCAGGCGGAGTCTTGTGATGTTGATCCCTGAGTGACGCTTTGTATCCCTTGTGGTTCTTATGTCTGCAACGTTTTTGTGTATTTTTGCAGTGATTGTTTTTAATTGTTCCCAGTTTCTTTGGTCGTTTGCGGCAATCGTCATTTTAAGTTGTCGGGTGTAGTATGTAAGGCTAGTTGGTATGTCTGTGAAAGTCGGGGCCCTGATGGCCCTTTTGGCCTCCATGTCCGCTAGTTCGTTTCCTGGCATGCCGACGTGTCCTGGTAACCATGCTAATCTGATGTTGCCTCTGCCTTCGTACAACAAGGTTCTTATTTTGTGTGCTTTATTAGCTTGGTTGTTTGTATTTATAAGTTGTTTTAGCGCTGCCAAATTGTCGGTCCATATTAGTGTTTTCTGCTTTGTGTTATTTGCCCATTTTACTGCTCTTAGTATTGCTTTACGCTCAGCGTCAAATATTGATGTTGCTGATGGTAAGTTATAGTATTCAATTATATTTGTTTTAGAGGTGATTGCTAGGCCAACTCCCAGGTCACTTTTGGATGCGTCTGTATATACATTATAGTGACAATGGTGTCGTTCTTCTAACTCCGTATGCAGTTGTAAATATGTGTTTTTGTTGGTTGACGATTTGTTGTGTATGGCTAGGGTAGTGTCGATATAATCTATATACGTTTGAGGTGGTTCTTGGGCATGATTGACTGGTTCGAAGTCTAAACGTAACGCTTTTAAGTTTTTAGATGCGAGGACCAACGCGGCACCTTCTGGATGTGTTTCGTTTTCCAGTATTCCATGGACCGTTCTGTTGTGCACGTGATTTGTGTTGTGGTAAGCCCTTAGGGTATGTTTTCCAGTCAAGTAGTCCACCCGGGAGCCCAGGTTTGGGAAACCTGCCTCGGCTAATAGGGGGACCATTTTCGTTGGGGCCAGGGCCCCAAGTGTCGTTCTCGCAGCTTGGTTCATTGAAATATGGAGCTTCATCATATGGCATTTTGCTGAAAATCCATAGATAGGTAGGCTATAGTCAATCCTCCCCATTACCAGTGCTCTGGAAATTTTGCATGCGGTTTCTACTGGTGGTCCGAAACGCCTTCTGCAGAGGAATTTTAGTAGTCCGATTACTTGTTTTAATTTAGCATTGAGTTCCTCTATGTGTTTGCTATATTTTTCGTTGCTTTGGAATGTGATTCCTAGCACTTTGATTTTCTCAGAGTAACTAATTAGCTTTCCTTCGTGCGTAAGGTGTATGGACGGGCATTTTCTCTTTCTGCAAACGTGGATCGCTTCTGTTTTGGATGTGTCAAAATTTCCCCCATTTTCTTTGGTCCAGTTTGTCATGATTTCGAGTGCCTTGTTTATGTTCGAACGTCTGGTTGTGCTGCTACCTCTTGCAGTTAATATTACATTATCTGCGTACACATGTGCAGTGATGCCCCTTATTTTGTTCAGTTCTACTGGCAGTGAGTTAATGTAAGCGTTAAAGAGGTAGGTGGACAATGGTGAACCTTGTGGTATGCCTCTTTTGATTTTGACAATCCTGGATTTGCTGTTCTGGATCTCGATGTACGCCGCTCTGTTTTGTAGTAGTTTTTTAACGTACTCCAACAGCCTTTTGTTTATTCCCCATTTCTCTAAACTTTTGGTCACAGATGTCGGTGGGACTTTATCATATGCTTTTGATAGATCGCACGATATTATATCCACATGTGTCCTTTCCTGAAGTGCATCTTGCATAATGTAGTCTAGTTCTTGGAGAATGGTTATAGTTCCTCTGCCTCTTCTGAAGCCATGTATTTTGGGTTGCAGATGTTTTTCTATAGTCTCTGCCATCTTGTTGGCTACTAGACGTTCTATTGCCTTCCCCATAGTGTTGAGGAGCGATATGAAACGATAGTTATGGGGTAGTAGAGGATCTTTTCCCGGCTTGCGAAGTGGATACAATTTTGCCAGTTTCCATGAGTGGGGAATGACGCCTGAGTTCACTATGTTTTCGGCTAGGTCTTTGTACCTGCCTAGGAAGGTTAGTCCTGCATTTATGAGCTTCCTGTATGTTATTCCGTCTGGATCTGGAGTTTTCCCTTTCGGTTTCCGCCATGCCTGGAGTATTTCACTCTTGCTGAATATAATTTGGTCTTGTTCTTCTTGGGGTGCGATGGTTTTTATTGGTGGTACGTTATGCTGGGGCTCCACTCCTACCAAGTTTTCATATTCTTCAGCCATTTTGTCGAGTACTACTGGCAGCCCTGTGTAGGTTTGTCCGTCCTTGCGGAGGATTATCCTACCCGTGGGATGGTTCTTGTTTACTATGGTTTTTGCTTTTTTCCAGGTCCGTGAGAGGCTGCAGTCATTTATCGATTCAGCGAAGTTTACCCAGTTTTCCTTCCTTGCTGATTTAATGGCACGCCTTAGAAGCGCATTACTTTTTTTTGAGTCCACCAGATTTGTTTTGTTTGGTTTGCGTTTAAATCTCTGCAGGGTCGCATTTTTCTTTTTTGTTTGGTAACGGACTTCTCTATTGAACCATTTTGGGGTTTCGCGGTTGTGCTGTGGGGCCGACATCGGTATGCATTGATTGGCTGCTACCTTGATAGCCTTTGTCAGAGTGGCTGCTTCTTTGTTGTTATTTATTGTGCGGGGGTTGTTTATTAGGAATTCGGAGATGCAAGCCTCGAAATCTGTCCAGTTAGCCCTATTCTCCAAGAATATTCTCTTGGTGCGTTTATCTTGGTTTTTCTTTGCTGGTAAATTGATCATTATTGGGTAATGATCTGCACCCTTAGGATTATTGATAGTATGCCAGGTTAGGAAATCTAACACTCTTTGGTGAGCTATGGTGATGTCGGGACATGTGAGCGATCCTCTGTTGCTGATAAAGGTGGGTGATCCGTCGTTTATCAGGCAGAGATCTTGTATACACTCTAACCATTCTTCTAGTGCGCGACCGTTTTTGTTGTTTGTTTTGTCTCCCCATTCTTGGCTTCGTGCGTTCATATCTTCCAGCAGGAGATATGGCGCAGAGGCGTTTTTTATGGTTTCTTCTATTGATTTGAAGTTAATGGGACTAGTTGGATGCACGTAGACATTGATTAATGTTACCTCTTTCGGGATGCCTGGCAGGAAGAGTTTTATGGCTAGAACGTCTTCCCCTTTTTGCGTCTGTACGATCTTGTAGGAAAGGTTTTTGTCCACAAGGAATCCGACCCCTCCAATTTGATACTTTGTGGGATGCAGGACACAATTATAATTTTTATATGATCGTCTGTGCTTCTTGGGGTCCTTACCCGCATTTGTTTCTTGAAGACAAATAGCCAGAGGTTCATATTTTTGAATCAGAAGGTCTATATACGCAATGTTTGTTTCGAGCCCTTGGATGTTATACTGAATTATTCCGTGATTTCGGTGCTTTATGTTGTTATGTTTATCTATTATTTGTGTGGGTTTCATTTGGTGTTTGTTTGTTTTAGTCATTGTCTGATTTGTTTAAGTTTCCATAGCGTTTTCGTCGTTCGAGTCCTCGCTATCTTCGAAAGGGTCACGTATGTCTTTGTTGCTTTTTTTATATTGGGTTTTAGAGAGCGTTTGCATGTTTACTTTCTTTAACTCCTCTATTTGTGTCCTGGTGCTAGCTGTGATTGTTTGGATTTTATTTTCTGGGTTTTTGGTTTTCGCTATTTTTTGGCGAAGGCACTGGTTTCCAGGTTTTTCAGGCCTGATCTTGTGGCATATTTTTTTGTTTGCTTTTCTTCTGTGCATGTTGGTGCTTCTGAGATATCAGATGATTTTGCTGTGTTTGTTGTGTAGTCGTGTTTGTTTAGTATTTCGATGATATCGGATGTTGGTTGCTGATTGGTGTGTTCTGGTTGAGAATTGGTTTTTGGTTTAATTAAATGTGTGGTAGATAATGTTGTTTGGATTGAGGTTGTTGGTTGTATGTTTTTGTTGGTTGGTTGGGTAGGCTGGTTGTTCATGATGCCCAAACTCGAGTGTTTTGGGGCAGTCTTGTTTTTTGTGATGTTGTTATTTTTGTTACTTGATGTGTCTGTATCTTTTGTTATCATCGTTTGTGTTGTTGGATTGTTGTTAGTTTTGTTTGGTATGTGTTTCGGGATTTTTTTGTAGGCTTCTCTTTTTGGTATTCTACAGCCGGTGGCTATTTTTATAGCCTCCTTCTCCCGTAAGTAGGAGGGACAGTCTCGTGCATTGGCTGGGTGGTTGTCATCATAAGGTGAGTTGGCGCAGTTTGCACATTTTATTGGGCTGCAGATCAGTATATGTTCCTCGGTTGTTTCTGTTTTTTCTTTATTGCATTGTCCGCAAATTGGAGTGGTGATTTTGCAGTGTTGGTATTTGTGTCCGAGTCTTTGGCACATACTGCATCTCATAGGTGCCATGTAGTACTTTCTTACTGGCACTATAAGGAAACCCACTTTAATTTCCTTTGGTGGTTCAAGACAGTCGAAAGTTACCTGGACCAAGCCTGAGTATACTTCCCTTGTGCATCCATCAATTTCAGCCATTTTTTTATATCTCCAGATTTTTAGAATATTTTTATTTTTTTCTTTCAGCCGCTGGAGTACTTCCTCATCTGACATAGAGACTAAATCTCTACAGAAGAAAGTTCCTCTGCACGTGTTGAGACCTTCATTGTATTCCGCCGTAATCGAAATGTCGCCTAGCTTATTGATTTTTATAAATTTTTTTCCTACAATTTTATTTGGTACCTCAATCACAAGGTTTCCCTCCCTGTTGAAAGTGGGCTTCGCTAAAGCGCTGACACCTTGAATCAATTTGGTAACTAGGAATATGTTGTACGTCCTGAAGGGGCGTTTTTCGTCTTGTGTTTTTAAAGTAATGTATCTTATTAATTCGTTTGGTTTGCAGTTCGAATTTATGCCCAGTACTGGGAAATCCATGAAATCATTCGTTATATCCTGTCGGGACTTTCGTTTTTTCCTGGATATACCGGCTTCGTCACCCTCAAGTGAACGAAGGGGCTCAAACCTATTTTGTGTACCCAGTGGGTACACCACTACGTTTACTATACTCCTTTGTTTAGTTGTTTTCAAATATCCTATACAAAATTTTTATATTATACTGGATACGGGTAAAGTTTTGCTTTATAAGATCTTTTTCACTTTTTATTTTGTGCCAAAATTGACGTTGTCAAAATAATTGACAGTAGTTAATAGTCTGACGAGTAGTTTTGAAGAGTTAGATAGAGAGATAACACTTAGCAGTCATGGATCTAATTATGCGTCAGACATATTCGTGAAGTTTTTTATTAGATGGTTTGACAGGTTCGAGTAACTGCCGTACTATCATTAAAGTTAAGTCTAAATATTTAAAAAACAAATTTTTGTAGTTAGCATGCCAAGGTGCAGGGTATACTTCAGTGCAAATGAGACGTTTTTACTTGTTTGTGTGAAACTTCTGAACTATGTGAAACTTCTGAAGAACGTGTTGCTTCAACTATGTTTGTTTTGGAGCCAAAATCTCTTGAATAAAGCAAGGTGAATGAGTAAAATAGTAAAGAAATGTGACCGACTTACTTTAAGAGAGAATGGACTTCATTTGAGGGAAGACTGCAAACATGCAATTGAATTCATCCAAAATACTTTGAGATTTATTATATTTATCCGTTAGAGATCTATTATATTTATCCTGTTATTACAATTATTAGTTTCTACAAATTTTGGTTTAGATTGAAAAATATAATAATGATTGATACAAAGAAAAAGTTTTCTTCTTCATATATTAAAACTTTGAATGTTCTTTTCAAGAACTGCATAAATATTTACAATCTATATTTCTGCCAAAATTTTGATTTTTGATCAATAACATTGAAGCTTAGGGCATCGCCTTCTAAGCCTTCTGTTAAAAATTCAGTAATGCATGGCTTGAGAATATTTTCAACGCAACTTTGCAATCAAAGTCATTTTATCACTCGTTGATAGTTTTTATCCATAGGAGTTTAGTTAAAAGTGCAAATTTGAGAAAACTCATAAATTTTTATTAATGTCTTGATATGCAACATAAGTAACATTAATCTGTGAGATCTTAAATTTATATTATTTATACGTTCACCCGTTTAACTATAGTTACTTTAAATTTCAAATGACTTAAAATTACTTTAAATTTCAAATAAAATTAATCGCAATAACCATCCCTTTTAATATTTTTTTTATTAAAATGGTTTCTCTTTAAAAATTTATGATTTACTTATAACGTATTTTATTATTAAAAGATATTTATTGTCGCTTATAATCTTTTCTTTCGATTAATAATAATTTAATCCCAATTTAATTGACTGGTTTTATGTTTTGTTAGGCATTTTGTTGGTAATTTAACAAAATTACGTAGAACTTAGAACATTTTTGCATAGTTATATAAAATTATCACTACATTTATATTAACTTATTTACTAGTCGAGTTTTCATAAAAAAAAATAATTTTTTTTTGTTTTCTTCATTGAACAAAAAACAATTTACTTAATAAAGGTTTATTATTTTATAATGTCAAAATCAAAGATTTTTTATCTACATATATAAAATAATTAGATTTTTAACATATTATTATACTACGAAATTTTTCTGGTATAATAAACTACTAAAAATATCTAACTACTTTTAACCTTATTTTAATTTTAAGAATGTAATTACATACATATTTTTTTGATTATAATTATTAAAATTATTTTTGAAGAATAAAAAGAACAGTTATTACTACATGCATATGTATGTATATATAGTATTCCTTGAATAAACTACTATATGAGAAAAGTATTTTCTCGATTTTTGCCAAATAATATGATCTAGATCTTTTTCTTTTGTTTGATCCCTCTATCCATATATGGTTCATTGATCTACGATATTTGTTCTGTAGCCTGTATTTGGTGATTGTTGGTTTTTACAATATTATATTTTTTACAATTATTTAAAAATTTGATTACATTACGGTACTTTTTATAGTCGTTTTGATGATTTTTGTTGTTTATGTCAGAATCAATTATTATGAAAAGTAAAGTGACGTAGAAAATATGTATACAGTTTAACTTCCATATAATGAACAGCGATAATCCCTTGAGTTTTGTTCTTAAAAAGAGATACAATCTTTAAATATTGACTTTGTATATTACGAACTTAATTCGTTATTTAGAGACTTCCTTTTATTATGAAGAAAGAATCGTAGTATAGAGAGTTTTGAAAAAAAAAACAAAATTGCATCAAGTATGTAATGAGTATGTAAACTTTATTAGACATGTTTACACTTAACAAGTACACAATTTTACTATGTAATAATAAAAATGTGTAAATTAAATTTTGAAAAAGTTATTGTTTTTCGCTTGGTGCATGATTATCTATAAAGAACTTCTCCAATTTACTAATCTAATCAAACACCTCAGGAGGTGTGGATTTTTTGGCTTATGCTATTTTCCTTAACTTATAAATTGCATCGGAAATTTCACTTTTACTTATTTCGGACTGTGGCTTATTATCTTTAACTTTATCATCTGAAATTTCTAAATTTAAAATTTCATAACCATGTATAGCTAGCAGAAAGTCTTCATCTGTGGGAATATCTGAGGTTGTTATTTTTTCATTGACATTTGAATATTATTTAATTATTATAATTTAATTATTTAATTATTATTGCATTTGCGGAACAGCTTTGTTCTACGGAATATTTGTATATAAAGACGCAAGCTCTTCTGCCTGGGTGTTATTGCATGTTTCTCCTAAATGAATATCATTTAAACTAGAAATCGGTACAAGATCTTCGTTCGTTTGAAAATCATTGGAACGATTTTTAGAATCTGCTTTGCGATTACAATTCAAAATTCTAGTGGATGTAACACCTTTCCATAGTTAATTGGAGTTTTTATCTTCCGTATCACTCAATAAATAACGTTCTAACCCTTAAAAATAACGTTTCCCTTAAAAATAACGTTCTCTAGTGAAATTTTACATTTATTATTATGCCCATTTTTAATGGTTATGCCCATATTAATGGTATTTAGGCTGTCTACTGGGTGGAAAAAATTTTATCGTAATAAATATTAATTTTTTTTGTAATATAATTTGGATGAGCTACCAAAATATTGTGAGAAATGTATGTATGGGAAAATATTTATATTTACTAACTAAAACGTTTGCAAATACATGTGCGTTAATAGTAAGTTATAGCAACTTCGGATTTTTCATTTATAGGATGCAGCTTCCGGCAAGAAAATTTGTTGACGTCAAAGGATAGGCAGTTTTTAAACACAGTTTCCTTAATTGTATAATATGAGTCACAAGCGAAATTAACTATGATGTATGCCGATGATGAGTTGATAAATCATTCTCATGTGTCGGTATCGGGATTATGTGGTGAATTTGATACACATCCGCTTGTAGCAACGCAATTTTGCATTCAAATATGAAGCGAGATGATGTTATTCGCCCTTGTATTATCATTAATTTGTATATTTGCAGAAGTTTCGTGTATTTTTGATTTCGGGAATGTAGCTACTAGGTCGAATATGACCACTTATGATGGACAATTGTTCTCTTAAAACTTTTGGAGAGATTATAATCAGTAATTTCTCCATGTCTTCTCTTAACTCCTTCTGTTTGGCAGCAGTTTCTTCCAGATTTAAATTTTGTGAGGTTTTTTTGTATTTTTTGGTTGAGCCCCCAAAAAGTTAGATAGTTTAATTGAAAAAAACTTCTTGTTGCTTGGTTTGAACTTAATTAATTTTATTTTTAAAAGTCTGACCTATTTATACAAAAATTAAGCTACTTTACATTAATTATTTCCCAGAAATAGACTAGTAAGCAAATTTATGCATTTATAAAATTCATAATTTTCCCATGTTAACCTAAGTATCATGTAGGTTTGAAATTTACTTAAAGTAAACTTAACAAACAAAATATATGTGTGTAATTTGACTCGTACAAAATATTGTGAGAAAATTATGTATGGGAAAATATTAACATTAACTAACTATAATGTTTGCAAATACATGTGCGTTAATATTAAGTTATGGCAAATTAGAATTTTAGCAATTTTGGTAAATTGTTGTTACACAACACGCACCAATAACAGCTATAAAGGGTGTATTGCTGTTTGAAGTATTTCCCTTCATATTCATTAGCGCTGCACCAAACTAAAATTAAAATGAAAACAATTAGAATATGGAAATCTTTTTTAATATCGATATAAATATTTAGATGATTCTAAATAATAGCGTTAAAAAAATTTAGATGATTCTTTGAAAAATGGAATTAAAAATCAGGTCATTAACGAAAGGATAAAGCTTCAGCTGCCTGTGTTCCTTTCACAAGTCTTTAAGGATTACTTTTACGAAATCATCCAAGAGTTTTCCCAATTTAAAAAATATAATTTAGTAAATATTTTAAATTTTTAATTATTTTTTCTTTACTATTCCACTTTCAAGTTTTGTTTTGTTCTTTAAAAATTGGGAAAATGCGTTACACTTTAAATAAAATTTACCTCTTTAAATAAGTTTAACTTT